TGCCTAGCGCCTTCTCGCTCGCCGCTTGTCCTTCTTCGCCTGGCTCGAGCCGAGCGACCAAACGACCCCGTGATCCCTCCGGCAACCCTTTCCTCGAGGGCTCCTCCTCTCTTTCCGTTGCCCCCCCTCCCTCCCCAGCCTCCCTTCGTGCACGCTCCCGTGCGTACCTGTGTATTCGGAGGCGTCTCGACGCGAGTTGTCGGGGACGCGACGCGACGCGCAGCCTGCGTAAATTTAGCTCCCGACGGCTTAGACTCGCACCGCCGCCCCGTTTCCTCGGCACGGGGTCGGCCGCGCGTGTCTCGCTTTGGATTTATCCTCGCCGGAGGGCGAGACGGGGGTCCCGCACTCTCTCGTGGAGAAGAAGCCCGCAGAAGCGCCGACGCGCGTCGCGCACGAGTTGAGCGTCGACCTCGACGAAGGTTCTGCGAGGACGAGCGCTTCCGCGCCGTTCAGCTCAATTAGCGCTCGCGCTTCGTTACCGCCACCTGCGACGTGCGCGCGTGCACACATCAACCTGACCTGACCTAATTTCTTAACCCACCGAGAAACTTTGAACCGAACGCATGAATCTGCTGCGGACCGTCGCCGTCTCGCGTGTTCGGATAGCCGAGAGGAAACATGCTCGTCGTTGTCGCGCGCGGCCGCGTGAACGCGTTCCTTATCGCGACGACGACGACGACGACGATGACGACGGCGGCGACGGCGACAGCGGCGGTCGCGACGGTGCCGGTAGTGGTGGTGGTCGTGCACGATGACCAGGATCGATCGTCTGTCCCGGGAACTAGCGTCTACCATGACGTCACGCTACGTCACCAGCCCCCCCCGAGCAAAACGCGGGAGGCGGGAGCGTGTGTCGGTGCGCCGTTCTCCACCTTTTTCCCCCGCACGCGAGCGGCCGTTCGCGTCAACTCGGAGCACCGCGCCGGTGTGCGAACACCAGGAGCGGCTCTGCGCGATCCGGGAGAGCGCGGAAAGGGTCGTTGATGGATTCACTTTTGTTTCGCATCCTGGGAGAAATGTGATTAAATGTAGTTACATGAAATTATGTGCGATTATGTATAAATTATATACGAACCGTGTATAACGAATGTTTTCTTTAAATGATTACATATGCAATTATATATATAATTACGTATGTCCACATAAAATTCTGTCGATTGAAGAAAGGAAAAGATGGCTCGATTTCGTGGACTCTTACAAACAGAAGCATTTATTTCGATTGTACTTGCAACGGTGTTAGCTTCAGTTTGGACGCATATACGTATAAATGTATGACCATGTATGACCGTATAAAGACCAAATTCACGCATAATCACTTTTCTCCGGGATAATGATGAAATAAATTGGCAGCTCTATCGCGATAAACAGTTTGTTGAAGCGGAACGAAAAAGTGCCAACATACTGGTATTATTGTTAAAGCGGAGATATTTGTATGGGAAGCTCGCGATGATAGTGGTACTTAGTAGCACACACGGATAATTAATTTTCTTAATAAAGGGGGCAGGGGAAGAATAGTTTTCGAGCTGGGGCTAGGAAGAACATGGGAATGCAGCAATGCTTGATATTCTAATTAACTGCAAATGTAACTGAATGTGGCCGAATTTGAATCTAGCAAATTCAAGTGCCGTTGCTAAAATATCGAAAACGTGGACCGTGCAGCGAGTTTTGCATGTTATGTCTTATCGTCTGTTATAATTGTTGTTGCAACATGATGCTTAACATACACTAATTACTCCTTGAGTACATCATTACCATAAACATATAACATATCTATTGTGTGTGATGAGATATTGAGCAATATGATCAAATTAATTGATATCTTCATGCGCGATGATTATCTAATCGGAGGTCACTCCGATCACCTTCACGGCAGTTTCTCTCAACGTAGTAATATTAAAAAACTGTAGAATCAAATACGAAGGTCGAATAATATTTCGGTGCTTTTTCCGTTTTCAACAGTGTCTACTGTTGCTTGCTACATAAATTTCACGCATCCGTTAGAGCTGTTTATTTCAGGGAATCATTGGTAAGATTCCAAAATACAGCAGCTGGGAAATATTTAAAATCAGCAGCGCTGATGTATATATATACGTACAAATGCATGTATATATATGTATAAAAACAAAAGAAAACGGACAAAAATACCGAAAAAGGCTTGCTCCGCTCTGGTCCGAGTCCGCTCCTGGCGTACGCTTGCGCGATAGAACGATACGCTTACACTCACCTGTACAACGAAGACCCTCGTGGTTCATCGTACGGCGGGAAGGGCGACGGCGAGGTGGCTTTCCGCGTGTGCAGCCAAGACCTAGGGCACGCTTCGTCTGCGATCGCGTTTACGTTTCCTCCGCCGAGGCCGTTTCCTCTCATGGCGTGTCGTATCGTGTCCTGTCCTGTCCGTACCGTCGCCTCGTGCCGCGCCGCGCCGCGCCATGTCGGTGAACTCGCGTGCACAATTGCGCGAACGTGTGCGTGAGGCGACGCGATGTCACCCGTGCGAACCCGCAAGCAACCCTCCTTCCCGGCTCCCCTCCTTTCTTCCCCATCTCTCGTCTATCCTTGCTGTGCCTTCGGCCGTACGCGTGCCTCTCGTTTTCAGAAGAATCTCTTAGGCGTGTCTGCAGCAGCCTCGCCGCAAGCGGAATCGCAACCTGAAATCATGATCGATTTTCGAGTCCAATTTGGAATTTTTAAAATTAGAGCGCTCGATGTAGCGTGTTACCCTCGATTCTACTGTTTTATACGCGATTCAAGAGAGAAAGAGAGAGAGACCGGCGATTGCAGAAATCCAAGAATATCGATTCAAGTTCCCTACGTATCCAATAAGGAAAACTCGTCCGCCGCGTTCGCAAGCAATCTCGCGTTCCCGGGAATCGCGCAATGCGATCGCGCGCGACCTGTATTGTGTTTCCCCGAATCACGGCTTAATTAATCCCATCCTCCGCGCGGCATCGCGAAATTATTATTATCAGACGACGCGGCGGTGCCGCGGCGCAAAATGGGATTCTGCGTATCGCGCCGTGCCGATGCGCCTTAATAACGATCTCGTCTCGCGGCGGATTAATTCCCGCGAATCTCTCGCTCTATCCCCTTTCTCTTTCTCTCTCTCTCTCTCTCTCTCTTTCTTTCTCTCTCCTGGAGCAGCGCAATAAAGAGGTCTCGCGGGCGGCGAACGAGTCGTAGGAAGGACGACTCCTCGTGAGAGCCGTCGTGAGAGCGTCGCCGGAGACAGAGAGGACCGAAGAAGGAGGGTAGCTGCGGGTCTCGGCAGGAGGCAGGAAGGAGGACGGAGGCGGGAGAGAGAGAGAGAGAGAGAGAAAGAAAGGAAATCGCAGATCGGAACGGCACGGAGGCGTAGGCGGTCTCTCGCGCGCGCGGCTCCGAGAAAAAGCCCGTCTCGCGAGGGTTGGCGAGGAAACGGAACGAGGCGGCGGCCAGACAAGGACGATAGACAAGGCCGGATTTAGAAACTTCGTTGCCCGAGCCTGCTCCCTCCGACAAAACCGGGCGGACGTGCAAAGGCGGCGGAGAAGCCGTAGAGCGATCTCTGCGTATTTCGCCCCCGTCGCGATTATTCGTACTAATTAATTGACCAGCCGTGTCCGGTATGTAGCCAACATGCGTTGGCCCATTGGCAAAAGTCGGCGCAAGTCGGACATTTTGAATATCGCCCAACGGTCGTGGTCAACGCAACCTCGGTAGAGACGAGTCGCGAGATATGGCGCTTCCACATCGAGACTCTTGACAAATCATGTCGGGAAACTTGTCATTTTCATACCTCGTCCGTGCGATTCATGTTGCTCATCCGTACGATTCATCCCGAGAGACGAGGATATCGTTACACAGGCGTCGTCGTTAACCGAACACTTGCAAGTCGGACATTTTGGAAAATGTCTCCGCATGCCGATCTAGTCAAAGGAGATACTGTGCGATTCGCGAAAGGTACGTTTCGAAATTCCAAATATCTCGACAGCTCGCTCATAATTTCGGATGGATTTTCCACCCAGCCCTACGATTCACGCGATAATCCAATTACGCGCGCGACTCTCTCTCCGCCACTTCGAAACTGTCGCTCACTTGATTGACGTAGTGGCGCCTCCATTGAGATAAATCGTGTTCGTACGAGACGCGATATCTCAAGCGCCACCGACTCGCGTCAGGCTCTTCGCGGGAAGAGTCACCTTCGGCGAAGGCGAGTAGGAAAAAGACAAAACGAGGAGGAGAGCATTCGCGCGTTATACTTACCAGCGCGAAGAAAAGTATCGGCAGTCCTGGAACGAGAGACGCAACGGAAGGAAAGAATCCAACGAAGACGGGCTCACGCGCGACGGATGCCAATGAGGTGATTCCGGAAAGGGGGCATGGGGGGCGGCGAGCAGGCGGGGGTCGTGTGTGCGAGCGTGTGTAGCCGAGCGCGCTGGTGCGCGTTCCCGACGCGCAGAACGAGCGAAAGAGACGACCGACGCTGCGTGTGTCGCGGCGAGACGCGACGCGACGCTGTGTAAGTGAGGGAGGCCGTACGCGGCGGGAACCGCTCGTCCCTCTCCGTAGTACTACGCGAGACGCCACGCAAGCGACACGTTACACTTTCTCATCTCCGGCCGGCTTGCGACGACGACGGGCGTCTCATCGCGAGTGTGCCGTGAGTGTGTGTGTTTACGCGCGCGTGACCGACTGCACGCACGCACGCCGAGAGTCTTTTGCGGAAGTGATCGGACTTCCGTATCGTGTATCGTAAACGACAGCGACAGAGTCGTCGCGCGGTCGTGTCGAGGAGCACGCGTGTTTTGCGAAAATCCTCCCGCCTCGACTCGACCCGGTATATCGTGTTTCTCTCTCTCTCTCTCTCTCTCTCTCTCTCTCTCTCTCTCGCTCTCTCTCTCTCTCTCTCTCTCTCTCTCTCTCTCTCTCTCTCTCTCTCTCTCTCTCTCTCTCTCTCTCTCTTTCTCTCCCTCTCTCTCTCTCTCTCTCTCTCTCTCTCTCTCTCTCGTTCGTTCGGTGTGTTGTGTTTACGTTCAACGCACGGTGCGTTGTTTACGTTCGGCGAAGGCGCGCGCGAACGACGACGCGATTCGCTGGCACGCTACGTGCCGGAGCATACGTTCGAGAAGAAGCACGCCACAAAAAGTGGCCGCGAGTGCGCGAAGGACGGCGGAATTTCGGAGAAAAGGGTGCTTTTCGGCGCGCATCGTGATTCTCCGGGATCGTTCGTTTCCGTGATCTCGCGATCGCTCACGAACAAAGACGAGCGCCACCGAGCGCGTCGCCGAAGTAGCCTTGGGCGAGCGGCCCGCCGCGCCTCCTCGGCAGTTTTCGGTGAACGTCGTCGCGTCATTTCGCGGAAGTTAGTTGACCCGACGCGCGCTATACCACTCGACCGCAAACGCGACTCCGATCGAACGCACGTGCGTGTGTGTTGGCCGTTGTACATTTCGTCGTGAGCGCGCACGCGCGCGCTTCGCCGCGATTTGCGCCGAAATTTCGTGTGCTCGCGCGTGCACACGCCCGAGGTGTCGCGCTCACGCGCGCGTGTGTGAGAGAGAGAGAGAAAGAGAGAAGTGCGTGTGAATGCATCAGTGATACCGAAGGTGCGACGCTCTCGAGACCACGTGACGTCCCGCTAGAACATCTCTTTAACGGAACTTGGATACGCGCGATATCGCCGTCTCTGTCGAGGCAAGGTTAGCAGCCACGTTCTTCTCTCCTTCTCGCGGCGGCGCGATCGTCCCGCCGACGAGATTCGCGCATCTCGCGATTTTGCGCGCGCGCGATCGGTCTGCTGCGTGAAATTCGTCGTGATTGACATCTCGGGTTACTCGCAGCCGGTGCACCAGCATCCGAGAAGTGGCATCGCGACGCCCGCGCCGCCACGACAGTCGCGACTTGATTCGCGCGACGCGATCGAGTTTTCGCGCTTCTCCCTCCTCCCGCCCTCGCCGCGCGACATGTTCCGACGTGCGTCGACGTAAACACGTCGGTGCCATTGACACGACACAGGGTACGGGATCGCCTTTTTCGCTCGCTGCGTAGTAACGTGAACTGGCGTGTCGAGACTTTCGGGCGGAACGGGTATGTCGTTTCGTACGCTGCGCTCTCTCCCTCTCTCTCCCTCTCTCCCCCTTCTCGCTCCCTCGCTCTAGCGAAGCTTCTTTTTTCTTGTCGAATGACCGGCGCGGAATGTGCTTGATTCTCCGTCGGCTGACGTAAAATTGCACGTTTCTTCGTCGAGATGCCGTTATCGCGGCGTTATCGGATATTGATCGAGGGACGCGGCGCCATTTGGAAATTGAAATGTCGTGGCCCGTTGACATTAGACGACGGTTGATTTTAACGTTGAAACGCGCGACTGTTCTCGCGCTGCCACGGCAAGCACCACGAAAGCAAGCAAGTAAACTTCGGTGTGGGACACACGTAATCGCGCGCGTGTTGCGGTCGCCGAACGTGACGGATGAATAATAAATTGCGCGCGCTCTCGTTATTTGCAGAAACTTGGCGATTCGCTGTATACGCGGTCGATTTCCGGGAACGGCTTTAATCACATGTGCAGCTCTAGACGCACACGTACACGTGCAAGAATGCGCCCTGATTACCTCTTTATGCGCGTGTCGCGCGCTCGCGACGTGGGAGTCGATGACTTTGCCGCGTGTTCGCCGCCAAAGCCCCGACGCACGGAGCGTTCATTAATTCACGAGGCACGGTTGTTTAAACAATAACGTTTAAATAATAAAGTGATTTTCAAACGTGACATAATGCTCGAACAACTTATAATTATTATTCTCCAACGAGATAATCGTCCCTCTGGTATTACGGAAAAAAGGCACGAAATTACGTGACGGGAGAAAAAAGACTTTTAAAATATAATTATTATTCTTCTCCGATTAACTGGCTGATTATCTCATTGGCACTGCGAAGATAAAGAACGGACGAAATAATTTCAAGAGGAAAAAAATGGCTTTGGAATAAACTGGAAGCAGTCGTGGGACGACATAATCCTTGGGCAACGCGATTCTTAAATAACACGATTCTGTCGTCGCAAGGGAGCCGCGGTCGGGCCGGATTTCAGAGAGAGAGAGAGAGAGAGAGATAAAGAGCGGCGGCTGTTGACAAAAGTCGCGCCGCGTCCGTTCAGCCGATCGTGGCGACGGCTTCGTTCCCGGAACGCGGAAATTTATGGGACACCCAGGAGGGAACCGGCGAAATAGCTGCGGGCGCTACGGGTGGTCTATATTTAATTTCGATCGGCGCTTTGATGCCCCGAGCGTCGTTACCGGGCGGGGGCGTGCGTCATCGCGATAACAATCGGCTGGACTTTGCGAAATATTCACTTGGCGCTTCCAAGATCGATCGTGTCGCATTATTTGATCCGCTCCTAACGAGCGCGCGACCCTGATACATTATTGCCGAGTTAGTCACAAAGTTGACATTCCGCGCCGCCAGCTCGCCAGGGTAATCTCCTGCCAGTCCCGCTACTTTCTCTCGCGACCTCTCACACGTACAAGCTGCTTTTTATATCACACACATACATGTACCGTATGTGTCGATTTTGCCGGACGTGTTTGATTCGCCGGTCCGCGCCGACTCATCTCCCGAGTTTGCGACGCAATAATTGGCCACGATTAGATTTCGCTGTTACGGTTCTACGACTTATCTTCGCGACGAATCTACACTCGTCCGCCGCTCTGACGATCACGGGGGGGATCTGTTATCTCTTACGCAATATACGTTATCTCCGCATCGACGACGATCGGTAATCTCCTTCTGATGTCCGCAGTCGCGAGTCTGCATCCGCAGCGAGGTCTCTTCTTGCCCCCCCCCCCTCTCCTCCTCTCATTCACCCGTGCGTCCTACACCGCGAAACCTGCTGTCTCTCTCTCTCATTCTCTTTCGAAATTATTATTCTTTCGAAAGTAGCATTGGAGAGCCAAGATAGAATTCCGAAAATTCCCCAGGACGAGGCCGGCCTTCGTCTCGCGGTCGGCGGATCGTTGCCGCGGCACGTTGCTGAACACCGCGACGGGATGCGCGCGTACGAGCCGGCGACCTTCGGAAAACGATGCGGATGACAAAAAGTCCCGGCGATATCGCGTGGTCGTTTCGCTCGCTGCGGTGACGTTCCCGGCGGTTCCCGCGGAGAACTGCGCCGTATTCGCGCCGTGTACGTGCCGCCACGAGTGTTGCGGGGAGCCCCGCGTGTGAGTAATAATAATAGCAGTGTGCGAAAATCGACGGGCCTCTTTTATCACGGAGTATCATCGACACCCGCGGCAGCATGGATTACCGGCTCCTGTCGAACAACAACAACAACAACAACAACAATAACAACAATTATCCCACGCACCACCGTGAGTACTCCCAATTATCTATCGCCGCGTTCTCGCCGCGTGGCGAGTAGCCACTTTTTGCGTAGACCCTCGCTCGCACATTCGCGATACCGCTGCCCCCCCCCCCCCCGGGAGGGAGGGACTTGTAGAGCAAATCGAGCAAAAGACAAATAAAAGAGCGTCAGCACGCGGCGGCGTTATCGCGCTGCTGATTTTGCGAGAGAGAAGAAAAAATAACAGCGCCACCGACCGCAGCGGTTTTGCGTTTTTCGCGCGGACTTATCACCTTATCTCGCGGCAATTGGTGCGCTCGGATGCGCTAATCTCTTCTCGCAAGTGCGTGTTTGTCAATGGGCGGCGACGCGACCTACGTGCAAACTGGAATGTTAAGTACGCAGCCAGATGTCGGTTTGCTCTCGACGTCTGTCTGTCCGTTCGCCCGCTGCTGCTGCTGGCTGTGGGCGTCGTCGGGACACGCGAGGACGTTCGCGAGATCAAATCTCGCGACATCGTCCCGCATTCGCGGAGTCGCTTTCCTCGCGTGCGCCGTCTCCCTCGAGGGAGATCATCGATTTGTGTCTTCCTTCCACCGTGGTGGGCTGTTGACGAGAGCGAGGCGCTCGGATTCTGATGAGGCTTTTTTTCGCCTCTGGAACATTGCGACACTTGCCCACGCCGATACACACACGTGCGCGGTAGTGTGCGTTATTTTTGTTTATGACTAATTAATCGCGTGAGTATCGCGCGGCGAAATCTGATCTCGACGCGTGAGATTTGATCTCGGGGTTTATTTTCTTCTTCTATTTTCATCCTTTTATTTGTTGGGAGGACTCTGAAATGTTCGAAAATTGTAATCGAGCATCGTCGATAAGCGGCGAGAGGAGAGATCGATAAGAGTGAAGTTAGCCGCGCGGACGGAATGAATTACGTCGTGCGCGACTTGGAGTCGAAATGGGGCGAAATTACTCGGCAATTCGAATTTCTGCTATCGCTGCACGGCGCTTGACATTCGACGATTTTTGCTTTACTTTTCTCGTTAGATAACCTCTTACACACACACACACACACACACACATACACACACAGACACGTCATCGCGCGGTCGGTCATAATCTCATCAGTTCTGAAGTCATCAGAATCTCTGAGAATCCTCGTCATTGATAACAGGCTTCTCTCTCGGAGACTTTTGCGAGACTCGCGCTCTCGCCGGCTGATTCTCGAATTCGGAGTATCGGGGCACCACCGTAAGAATTGCTGGCACAGGTGGACCGCGATGTTTCGAAGAGTGTTCCGCTGGAAGGGTTCCTCTGTCGAGATTTTAGAACAGGGTCAATTCGGCGCGTCGGCACGTCGTTGGTCACATTCGTAACCAAAGCGGCGTCAGGCGTGTGCTATTTCATTGCGATCGGTCGATAATTTCGAGGGAAATGGATTCGTGTTGCTTCCACTTGCGAGGTGCGCGCGGCCAAAATCATGCCGATTCCTTGGCACCGAGTCCGAAACGATTGTTGATCGGAGACTCTCGAGAGTGCTCGAGTAGGCGACATCATTCGATCTCGGAAATGGGAGTTTCGACGATAAATCGCCGCGTCTGGTTTTACCGAAAATATACACACGCACGCGTACGCTCACACTCTCGTAGGACCCCCGTTTCATCCGACATTCGTTCACATGTGCACTTTCACGGACGCCCGCGGACGCTCGACGACGTCACGTGAATTAGCAGCCTCTCGCATACTTGGAATCTCTCTCTCTCTCTCTCTCTCTCTCTCTCTCTCTCTCTCAGTTCATCTGTCCCGCGAATGTCTCAGAGGACACGGCTTTGCGATTCGTATCTCTCGTATCTCTCTTCCTCGCGCGTTCGAAAACGCGTCTCGACTTTATTATCGGCTCACCGCGCCGTGACGTCAAACGTCGCGAATGTTTGCAAATGGCGGCGAAGATACGAGTGGGTTAAAAAGTCTCATATTCGACTTCACACTTCGCTGATAAAGAGTCGCGCGTTATCGTTTCGCGTTATCGTCGACTTAGCGCGCGCGCGCGCGGCCACTTCGGGAATCGACGGGATATTTGGTTGCGACCCCGAGATTCCATCGGCGTCACACACGAGAGACTTTACGATTTCTTCCTTGCGCTTCTTGCACACCCTATGTATCCGCACTATGTACGCGCCAACTTTTCGGCAGCGTTCCGCGAATTTCCCGTACGTCGGCTTTGTGACAAGGAGAGTGCCAGAGACGAGAGAGTGAGTGAGAGAAAGAGAGAGAGAGAGGGAGGGAGAGAGTGAGAGGGAAAGAGAGGAAGAGAGAAAGATAGACAAGACAGGTCGATCGTTGCGTAAAGAGCTCCTTGTGATATAACTCCATGGTGGTCCTTGAGGCTTTCGCAACATGGGATCTCCGATTGTCTAATGGTTGGTTAATGGTCTCGACTGTCGTGCTTTTTGCTTAACGATTGGTCGGCCGTCGATTGGCTGGCTGCCTCCCGCTGTCTTCCTGCGATTTTCCTGGGGGAAAACGAGATCGCGGTCGCGTCGACACCGCGTGTTCTCTTTCTCGTGCGAGGACTCGTCGCGCAGCAAATGCCGCGATTATTAGGCCTCCGGCTAGGATCGACCGCGTGAACTCTCCCCTTCCCCCTTCTCCCTCATCATTGCAATTTCGCGGTCTTTCGCACTCGGAATTTTAATGTGAGCACCTCTCGAGACGATTGCCTCTCGACGCGCAAAGTGCGTCGCGCGGCCCGTGAGATTATCGCGCCTGTATTTCCTTGACTGCGGGATTTAACTGGAGCACGTGGAGGATGAGATGTCAAGGAGAGATGAGCGAGAATCGAGATGGTTACTTCGTGTGAGGACGTTCTTTTTCCCGCTCGTGACATCTCCGCCTCTGACCTCTGAAAATCCGCGGCATGTTTCAGATCTTTCGGACATTCTGCGATTGACAAATGGGACTTTATATAACATAACTTTCGCCTGCTAAATATATGATAGAAATAACAAGTCTTACGACTGCTCCGGCTGATTGTGTATTCGTTAGCCGGTGGAAATTGACATCTGATTCAGGACTGATTCATTACGGAGTGTCAATGATATCAGGAAATTCCCGGTCGGTGGCTCGCTCGTGACGATTTTGTGGGGAATTTCAGACTTTCAAGATTTTCAGGATTCGCTTTCGTTTTTGTTTTCCCGGTAGGAAGGACGCGATCTTCGTGATCTCTCGCCGATGTGTCTTCTCCGGTTTCGGAGAACGATTTCTCGTTTTCGTGTGTGGCCGTCTGTGTTGTTGGATCCAACGAGAGAAAACCGCATCTAGAAACGGCGCTCCGTAAGAATATCTCCGGCTACGTAACTGGCTGACTTTCTAGTTCGTTAATGCGACTAGGAGTAACGCGATCGAAGTTTTCACGTAATACGTCCTTGAGGAACGTGAAACTCGTTGTCGGTGTGGGTAACCCAGGAAGGTTAATAAATTCTCGACGAAGGACGACGATAATGGAGACGATCGCGGTTTGGAGAAATTATTATTATTTCATCAGCCAGACTATGTCGTTTCTATCAGCTGCGAAGAAAATAAGGCCGTTGCCTCATTCTGATACATTGACGTAAATCTCCTCGCTACAAACATCCAGAAATATCTTCGTTTTCTCTCTCTCTCTCTCTCTCCCTCCCTCTCTCTCTCCCTCTCCCTCTCCCTCTCTCTCTCTCTCTCTCTCTCTCTCTCTTCTTCCCACAAACACGTCAACGGAAGAAATACAAAAAGTCGACACGGTACGTCTTATTCTCTGTAATTAATTCTGCGGAATGAGATAATTGACGAGCATTATATTGTCATTTACGACACAATTGATGCCGCTAGGCAGGAGGAGAGTAAAGTGCCGGAGCTCGAGTTATAGAATTTAATTACGACCGATATAAATATCGCGCGAAAACAAGTCGTAACCGTAGAAACGTTCGCGCGCGCATGTAAATTCCGATCAACCGTTAAACGCGGAGTTATTTTTATTTTTAATATTTTTATATTATTTATATTATTTATTATTTTCGACGAGAGTCGCGCGCGACGGGGTCGTTGGCGGCAGCGGCAGAGGCAGAAAAAAATATCGCGGCATATTTTCGCCGGAATATCACGTACGCGCGATGCACCGCCGGCGGAATAACGGAATTTATCTCGACGATTTGTAAAATTTGTTGTTGCTCGCGCGATAGCTTGACACAATATCCTCGCCCGCAGAACGCACTTGTCGGCTGGAAATGCGCGCGCGCTATGTAAAGCGAAGAGACGATGAAGACCACCGTCGCGGCCGACCCGAACGGATCACTCTTCTTTCTTTTCTCTTCGCCCTCTTTCTCTCCCACCTCCTCTCTCTCTCTCTCTCTCTCTCTCTCTCTCTCTCTCTCTCCTTTTTTTCTTCTCTTTTCCTCTTCTTTCCTTCCGGGGTGGACAGTGGTCTTGGCGCACCGCCAGTCGTCCCTGTTCGTTTGCCAGAAGTATCGGTCGGCGACTTTGTTTTTTGGGCGCGATTGTAAAAGCCCGTCACATCTCCGGGATTAAATTGACTCTGCCTCGTAAATCCCTTACTCGATTATCAGGCTACCACGTGATGCTGATTTGATTTTCGCTCCTCCCCCTGCCGTGCCTCTTGCCCTCCCCCACTGTTCCTTCGGCGCGTTCCTGCTCCGCTTAGGTCCTCGTCCTCGAGGACCTCCGTCGAACGATCGATATTCACACCGTCGGTGTTTTGATACTGATACAGTGTTATCGAGCGTGCACGCGGTGATGAGGGATCGCGCAAGATTGCATTCGCTCTCCCGCTGCTCTCCTCTCTCTCTCTCTCTCTCTCTCTCTCTCTCTCTCTCTCTCTCTCTCTCTCTCTCTCTCTCTCTCTCTCGTGCCTGTGTACATTATCAAACGTCCGGCGAAATTTATTCCTCGGTTCGCGTTCTGGGAAGCGCGCTCGACGTGTTTTCCCCCTTTCTTTTCCTTCCTCCTTTCTCCCTCTCTCGGTCGGTATCGGTGGAA